GTCTGAGTTTCGCTATTGCATAAATAGCGCTATCTACTGCGAAGGATCGTGCATCATACGTGTTCTATTAAAGATAGAGAGGATATTACATGGCCGCTTCATGATAGTGATACGAATTTTATCTTCGAGTGCCGTAAGTATCTCTCACTCGTCCGATTCGCTCACTCCTGAGAGATACTTTCAGTATGAGAAGATAAAACTCGTATCCCCAAGCGGCCATGTAATTTTCTGTCTATTTTATAGATACTGATGAAATTTCCACATGAAATACAAATTTTTTTTTATTCATTTTCGAAATAGCAAAATAGTACAATTCTGAAGTGGTCACCTACGGGCAAAATGCAAATCACAAAAATGCTATGAAACTCAGATATAACGTTATAAAAGAGAAATAAAGACAATAATACTTATATTTTCTGTTCCAAAAAGTCCACTTTGAAAAGAACCGGCCGCGCGCCTGAGCGGGAAGCTCTCTTGTATCTGGCTGATCATAGTAACCATGGCGAAACCAATATCCACACACGCGAAAGATATTAATAGTATCTTCACTGCGCGCAATGAAGATACAATTTTTATTTAAAAGGAAAAATCTGGTATTTCATCAGTAACTATATAATAAATCACACTTCACTCTTTTTGATGAAGGCCACAAATAGACACAAAAAACTTAACTTGTATCATACTTACTTGACTCTTTACTCATTTGTTGTTCGCCAAAATCGACACCTACTCACAGGCGGTTGTTTGGACGGGTTCGTGTATAGGCGCCAGTAGCTGAGCTCAACTTAAACTTTGCAGCTAATTAAATCTCCAGCCCACCCATCTGCGTTTTTATGACAATAAATGTGGCCTGCACATGCCTTTTAGAGTGATATTCGCTGATAGAACCTTAAGATTTATTTTCTTTTCATTCAACCCGATATTAATTTTCTGCCGGTTTTAGGAACTTCAATTGGGTGTTGAGAAACTACTGATGTATATCAAGAGTGAGGTTTTGCTCTACTGCGAAGTATGGATTGACGAAACTTCGAAGTAAAATTTAACAAAAAATGATGATGATAAACTTCTCAAAAAAAAGGATGGGTCTTTGCTCGAAACAACATCCTGCACAATTCCAATCATTTGTTGAATGGAATAACTGTACTTAATTTGTCAACGGTTTTCATAAGTTATTATAAATGGTCTTTTATTGGAAGGCAGCTGCTTCTATTAAAACCCTTCTATTGGTTAGTTCAAAGCTACCTGAGAAAGTTAATCCAA